ACCCGTGCCCATGCGGGGATGCTGGGGATGGGGTGGTGGGGTGAGGGGTCTCCTCCCATGCTGTTTGCTGGCTCAGCCGGGCTCATTTTTGTGTTGCACAGGGCGAGCGAGATGCTGGCAAAGGCCTGGAGATGCGGAAGCTGGTGCTCTCTGGTTTCCTGGCCAGTGAGGAGATCTACATCAACCAGTTGGAAGCCCTCTTGTTGGTGAGCACAGTCCCCAGATCAGACACCCGCTCCCGAGAAATTCCCTGGGATGGATGGATGGATGGATGGAGGGATGAATGGATGGAGCCGTTTATTCCTGGACAGCTGCCTCTGAGCAGGCCTGTCCTAGGTGGGAGCAAAGCTGAAGGAGCCACTCTGGAGCCAGCCTTGCTCTGGCCCAGCTGCCCATGTGTCTAGAGGGGAGGTATTTATAGTCCTGCTTCCTCTTGCGGACTCACTGGCCTTTGTGGCAGAGACGCTGTTGCGCAACGCGGGTCTCACCACCGTTACAGAGATGCATGAGCTGGGAGCGGCCCCTTCGTCCATCTGCTGGCCAGGACCTGTCCTGGGCAGCCCTTGCTGTTAGCTCAGGTCCCCCTCATCCCCAACGTTTTCCTCCCAGCCCTTGTCTCAAATGCTCTCCCTTCTCCTCCTTTGGCAGCCCATGAAGCCACTGAAGGCCACGGCCACTACATCACAGCCTGTCCTCACCCTCCAGCAGATTGAGACAATTTTCTACAAGATCCAGGACATCTATGAGGTCCACAAGGAATTCTACGACAGCCTGTGCCCAAAGGTGCAGCAGTGGGACAGCAACATCACCATGGGCCACCTCTTCCAGAAGCTGGTATGTGCCTTCCCTGGGGCTTGCTCCGCTTGGAGTGGGAGAAGGGCTGGGGAGATGGAGCACGGCGCTGCGGAGCTCAGCTCCATGGTGTGGATCACCTCACATCCTGCCATGTGCTCACTGGTGGCCATGGGACTTGTTGCATCGCCGCGTGCAGCAGCCTCTGCTGCCTGCCCGAGCCCTCCTGTCCTGGGATGGGCGGTCGTGCAGCCTCCATGCTCCTTGCCGCAGCAGGGATGCCCACTGCAGGCAGGTCCTGGGGGCAATCATGGTGGGGTTTAGGCTGGAGGACGTGATATGGCTTTACCATGGGGTGGCAGGAGCCCAGGTGTGTGGGTGACCCTCTGGGCAGGAGGTCTCCGCCTCTTTGCTGCCGGTGGATTCTGTGGTGATGCCTCCCTGGAGTCATGCTCCAGGTCCTGCTGCTGCTTTGGACTTGGAATGGGAGCAGGCGCTGTGCCCGTGGGTGCCATGGCCATGCTGGAGAGGGCAGGAGGATAGGGCAGGTAGAAGAGTGCCAGGAAGTGGCTGTAGCTTCAGCCTCCGCTCTGCAGGCACTCGTTACCTGTCCACTGGATTTTGGAGGTTTGTGGGGGCACAGGTCTGATCAGCAGCCCCACCGTCCTGCCCCAGGTGAGGATTCTCCCTGTGGAGCCAAGCATGCGTGTCCCCAGCTGGCTGTGGTCTGGCAGAGTGTCCTGTGGAGGGGAACGGCTCTGGGCTGTGTCCCCTCGGTATCTGCCTGGCTCCTTGTGCTACAGGGGGGGCTTCAGCATCCCACGAGGTGCCTGGCTAACCCCCACTCCCCACAGGCCAGCCAGCTGGGGGTCTACAAGGCCTTTGTGGATAACTACAAAATCGCACTGGAGACAGCAGAGAAGTGCAGCCAGAGCAACTACCAATTCCAGAAGATCTCAGAGGTAAGCTGTGCCGGGGACAAAGGGCGAAGAACAGCATCGCTATGGCTGAGTCCACTGCGTCTGCCCTGCGGAGAAGCTCTCCCTGCCCTGGGAACTCTTGGGGACTGTCCCAGGAGCGGCAGGGCCACTGGTGGCTGTGCTGGAGGGTTGTGGTCTTAGTACTGTGGGTGTTTGCCCCTCACCTCGTGC